ATTTTACTTGTATTAAACAAGATGAATAATTGATCAAATTTTCATGAGGGTAGGTCTAGCGGTTTCGGAGATCTAGTTAAAAAAGTTTTAAAAAATGCCATTTGGCGGTCAAAAATGATCATTAGACATATGCACACAAATTTAAAAAAAAAATTGTCAAAAATTTATATAGTTTTTCTCAAAAATAAATTTTTACAGAGGAATTTTTTTTCTTTAATTTTTTAAATTTAATTTTTAAAAAAAAAAAAAATTGACACGGGAAGTTCCCAGCAATTTGCCTTAAGGGACTTTTAGTTTTTCTGTTCTTTATCTCATCTATGTTCAAACTACACATTCTATTCATCATCACATTCATGTACACATTTGTCATTAAATTCACTGAATGTCTTACCAGACAGATTATCTGAAAAAAAAATCATTTATCTGCAGTGTATTTATCAAGACAGCATCAAACGCGATTCTAAAATGATTAATAAAAATTATGAAAATTTCTCAGAAGTTATGATCTCGGACATATTTTTGTGAGTCCTCTTTCGAAAGAGAATGCGTTTGGGAGCATTGTGAAAACTTTTTCTCAAACAACCTAAAAAGCGTTGCGTGCGCATGAGAATCTCGCTCGGGGCTCATAATTCGCTCTCGATGGTGTCTTAGTGTCCTGATCAGTGTCGAACCCGTACCTCGTCAATTACACGCAAAATCAGTTCTTGCATCGCACGTACGACCATCGTATACCGATTACTGTTAGATGGTAATAAAACGATAATGATATGATTATACACTTTAATCATAACAGTTTCTATTTATGATCGAGAGTTATTGTCGTATGATTATAGAACTCGCTGTTAAATTTATTTAGATCCGGTAGTTTGTTAATGAATATTTTTGGTTGCGATTGAAATAAAACAGGTTGCCAATTTTAGGCTAATTAGGATTTATAGAAATAAACTTTTATGGTTTGTGCAATAAAAACATAAAAACGATAAAAGTGCGGCGGTAGATTTATTTACGCTCGAGGGATACATTAGTATAAAAAGCAACTGATGCGAAAAAGTAGTATAGGCTAAGCCGCAATCGATAGATTTGATGAATAATGTAATTTATATCCAGAAATTGTTGCCAAATACCAATTAATGCCTGAAAGCATCTCGTAGTCATTAAAAAAATGCTGTGCAGACTTACACGCCAGCGATCGATCCTCAGATCGATTCTTGGCAATGACATAAAATTTGAAATATTGAGTTTAGAAGTAAGAAGAAAAGCGAGATTAGAATTGGAGAAGATCAGATTTAGAAGTCAAGAATAGTGAAAAAATCAGTTGCAAAAAGCAAAATTAAAAGCTAAATTGGATGGAATAGGATAGGGTAGGGCGAGGCATAAAGGACTAATTTAAATTTGAGCAATTATATTGTGAAAACCAAACCATATATCAATATAAATCAATAATTATCAATAACATATATGAAACAAACAACTGACTATGTTCTGTAAAACTTCCAGCCAGTTCATCATTGTAGAAATGTGTTTATTTTCTGTTTTTCATAAATATGGTTTCTGGCCCTGTTAACCCAATAGACGGGGTAAAACGAGACGGTCAGGAGCACCAGGTCCTATGTCTTATTTTTAATTTTAAAGGGATTACGAAATAATAGCTGCATTATTCAACCAATGCAAATATAAATTTTATAATATATTTTTTCAGAGGTGAAACTGCATATAAACTTGATCTGGTTATTCGTTAGAAATTTCATCAGCAGAGTTATAATAACTATATATTCAATTTATCTCTTGTAAAATTGCTTTTTTAACTTAATTTATTTTTATAAAGTGTAAGATATCACGTGTATTTATTTTTTACCTAAATTTTCATTCAAACATTTTCAAAAAAAATCAAAAATTTCACAATTTTTTTCGAAACTAAAAATGCACGTGATGTTTGTTAGGGGAGGGGGGTAATTTTGAAGAGGGGGGGCAAAAATCCTTAAGAAATCGATTACGTATTTAATGGGCGCCCACTTATATAAATGAAAATAGTACAGAATTTTGAAAAGAAGAAAAGTAAATGGCTAAATGCTCTAAGTAAGCAAGGCTAATAATAATAAAACTAGCTGTAAGTGGAATTGTCTTAAGGCAATTAGGGCATCGTGCCTTAAGGCAAATTTCTGGAACTTCCCGTACCAAATATTATTATTTTTTTTAAAAACGATTAACATTTTTGAAAAAATTTTACTTCGAAAAAATTAGATTTTTGAGAATCTAGGAATTTGTCAAAAAATTACTTTTTTTGAAAAAAAAAAAATTATTTTGACATATTTTGGAAAATCTGAACTTTTTTCAAAGCAATCGTACTGCTTTAACTGCATAGAGACAAAATGTCAAAGCGCGTAAGCGCCGCGTCGCCGTCTAACAAATAAACATTGGTACGGAACCCATAGGAATGCAAACAAAATTTATACTTATTGTTAAAATCTCTATAAAATATCTGATAATTTCATGTGCATATGTCTAATGATCATTTTTGACCGCCAAATGGCATTTTTTTTTACTTTTTTCATTAGATCTCCGAAACCGCTAGACCTGCCTTTATGAAATTTGATCGGTTCTTCACCTTGTCAATACAAGTAAAATGTTTTAAAATCGGACGCTCCGTTCTCTTAAAAACTGAGTTACCGTTTTTGGCACTTTTTGCACCGTATCTTCGGAACGGCTAGACCTGCCTTCGCCAAAAACTAATCAGCACTCAGTCAGTCAGTCAGTCAAC